CAAAATGGCTGTCTGAGGAAGCTCTACAAATAGCTGAGGAAAGAAGGAAAGCGAAAGGCAAAGGAGAAAGAGAAAGATACAAACAATTGAATGCAGAATTCCAGAGAATAGCTAGAAGAGATAGGAAGGCCTTCTTAAATGAACAGTGCAAAGAAATAGAACAATAGAATAGGGAGGACCAGAGATCTCTTCATGAAAATTGGAGTTATGAAGGGAAAGTTTCATGCAAAGATGGGCATGATAAAGGACCAAAATGGCAGGGACCTAACAGAGGCAGAAGAGATTAAGAAGAGGTGGCAAGATTACACAGAAGAACTATACAAGAAAGAGCTTAACGTCCCTGATAACCACGATGGGGTGATCACTGACCTTGAGCCAGACATCCTGGAATGTGAAGTCGAATGGGCCTTGGGAAGTCTGAGCAACAACAAAGCTAGAGGAGATGACAGTATTCCAGCTGAGCTATTCAAAATCTTAAAAGACGATGCAGTAAAAGTGCTACACTCCATGTGCCAGCAAATTTGGAAAACTCAACAGTGGCCACAGGATTGGAAAAGGTCAGTTTACATTCCTATCCGAAGGAAGGGCAATGCCAAGGAATGTTCAAACTAACGCACCATTGCACTCATTTCACATGCTAGCAAAGTTATGCTCAAAATCCTACAAACTAGGCTCCAGCAGTATGTGGACTGAGAGCTACCAGAAGAACAGGCAGGATTTCAAAGAGGGAGAGGAACTAGAGATCAAATTGCCAACATACGCTGGATCATGGAGAAAGCTAAGGAGGGAGTTCCAGAAAAACATCTGCTTCATTGACTATGCTAAAGCCTTTGATTGTGTGGATCACAACAAATTGTGGCAAGTCCTTAAAGAAATGGGAGTACCTGACCATCGTATTTGTCTCTTGAGAAACCTATATGCAGGTCAAGAAGCAACAGTGAGAACTGGGCAGGGAACCACTGATTGGTTCAAAATTGAGAAAGGAGTTCGGCAAGGCTGTATACTGTCACCCTGCCTATTTAACTTATATGCAGAGCACATAATGAGAAAGGCGGGGCTGGATGAATCACCAGTTGGAATTAAGATTGCTGGGAGAAATATCAACAATCTCAGATATGCAGATGATACCACTCTCATGGCAGAAAGTGAAGAGGCACTAAAGAGCCTCTTGATGCAGGTGAAGGAGGAGAGCGCAAAAGTTGGCTTGAAACTCAACATTAAGAAAACTAAGATCATGGCATCCGGTCCTCTCACTTCCTGGCAAATAGATGGGGAAGAAATGGAGATAGTGACAGATTTTATTTTCCTGGGCTCCAAGATCAGCGCAGCCAAGCAATTAAAAGACGCTTGCTCCTGGGGAGGAAAGCTGTGGCAAATCTAGACAGCATACTAAAAAGCAGAGACATCACCCTGCCAACAGAAGTGCGTATAGTCAAGGCTATGGTTTTCCCAGTTGCAGTGTATGGCTGTGAAAGCTGGACCATAAGGAAGGCTGAGCGCCAAAGGATTGAGGCCTTTGAATTGTGGTGCTTGAGAAGACTCCTGAGAGGCCCTTGGACTGCAAGGTGATCAAACCAGTCAGTCCTAGAGGAGATCAACCCTGACTGCTCTTTAGAAGGCCAGATCCTGAAGATGAAACTCAAATACTTTGGCCACCTAATGAGAAGGAAGGACTCCCTGGAGAAGAGCCTAATGCTGGGGACAATAGATGGCAAAAGAAGAAGGGGGCGACAGAGGATGAGGTGGCTGGATGGGGTCACGGAAGCAGTTGGCGTGAGCTTAAGTGGACTCTGGGGGATGGTGGAGGACAGGAAGGCCTGGAGGAGTGTTGTCCATGGGGTCGTGATGGGTTGGACATGACTTTGCGACTAACAACAGCTACAAGAACAACAAGAATACTGTGCATGTTTTTTTCTGTTGTAAGTTACTTTAGGTCTTTTCTAAAGAAAGGTGGCTAAACTCAGATGTGCCTTTATAACACTTGGCTGTAGCCCAGGTCACACCATGACGTGGCACAATTGTCGCATGTGTTGTGCACATATGTATGAATCTGCTGTTTCACACTGATCTCATTTGTGCATAAAGGCCAGCCCAGAAGCAAGCAGGCTGCCTCCTGCTCGTTCGCTCACTCACTTGCTCACTTCTTCTGCTTTACATCCAGTTTAGAAAAAGACACAGGTGCAAACTGGAGTTAGAACCCTTCCCCAGCCCAGAATTCCAGGTCCACTGGTCACACTGGGTGCACATCTGGACCAGCCAGTGGTCCTGAGGTGGCTTGCTTGCTCCCCTGTGGCCCCAACATCCCATGAGTGATCGGGATGTGTGGACAGGGTCTTAGTTTCAGAAACGCACTTGGGATTGGGGCCTTGAACAGCAGTGTGCCCCTCCCCTCCCCTCCCCTGAGTGGCTCTCACAGCTTGTGAATTAAGGGCACTGAATTATTCAGTGCTACTTTCAAACACATACCTAAATTGTATTCTGTGCACACACATAATTAATTGGCCTGACAGTGGTTGCTTTTGCATATGCCTGCATTCATCCAGACTTGTGACTTTCCTTTGCTGCGTTGATGCATAAATACAGTTTCCTTTTAGATGGCCAGTTAGATTTTGGCAAGCGCTCCAAAAGCACGAAATGGGCAGATCTGTATGTGCCATAGAGGCTAGCCTGTGTTCTGCACTTGTCCCTTTAGATTCAGAACAAACCTCATCCTGAAGGCTTGAGCCAAATAATAGAACCAAGCTGAAGATAATTGAATCCAAGCAGCTTTCCGCTGTTTCAAACCCAGGACATGCCTTTCACCTTCCTAGGATCCCTTTTAGTTATTTCACAACACAGAAACAGAGCGAGTCAGAAGGGCTTCCTGGGCCATCTAGTCTGACCCCCGGCTCCAGCCGGCTCTGTTCACGACACGCCCGCCATAACAACATATTTGTTGTTTCACTCCCTGTGACTTTCTGTCTTGTCTGGAGTAACTAGATACGAAGAAGTGAATTTTGGTAAGCAGAGGCTGCTGTGACAGGTGGTACTAGCTGAAACTCTTTTTCTTGCAAGTTGGAAGTCTTCCTTTGCAGTTATCCTGCTTTTCCATGTCTTTTCCTCTTGCTCTTTTCTCCTCCTCAAATCCTAAGCAGGGCAGTTGGTTCCACTGCTCTGACTCAGAGGTGGGATCCAGCCCTGTGGTCTAAATCAGGTAATCCATTCCGAGAGCCAAAGGGCACGACCCAGAGACCACTCCTGCACTTCACTTTCGCTGGACTTCTCCAAATCTCCAGCGGCAGCCACCTTTAAAGATGAGGCAGCTGGACATCCCTCTGACGGGATGCTTGGCCTTATAGGCCCCTTCCGGCCCTACAGTTCTAGGATTCTCTGAACGAAATCACCATCTATGAAGGCTTCCTACATGCTCACCTTGTTCACTGCCTCAGTAATAGGCCGGAATTCCATCTTTTGCTTTTGGTGATTACTTTGGTTTTATGCTGTTTTAAACTTAACCGTTTTTATATTACGCTTTACTCTGTTCTTGTGTTTTATGGTGTTAAGTGTTGTTGTGGGAGCAGCCCAGAGATTTTTGGCTTATGGGCAGTATAGAAAAACAAAAAGGCATGTAAGTTTAGACTCCCTCCCCCAGAAGAGCCTACAACTCCCAGTTTGGCCACTTCTAGGCCTCTCTCTGTGTCTTGGTCAACAGTTCCATAGAATTGTAGAAGAGGCTGCACTACTCTATTCCTTCTACTCAAGTTAGGAAGAAGAAAACTTAACAGAAGCTTAACATAATTAGAGGGAAAATGCAGCTTGTCATGTCCGCTTGTTCATTTTTTCATTCATTCAAAACCTTACAGCCCTGTCAAGGCCATGTACAAGACTTGAAGGCACAAAAGAATAACAAAAGCAATGACAAAATAAAAGTTAACAATTAAAAACTGTTAGCTCCCATAGAATCTTAACTAGGCTAAGATAAACTGAATGTTTAGGACCTGCTTGATGGCCTGGCATGTTGAATCCTAGAAAAGCATTTATAAATTGGAACAGATGTTTGCATGCAGCCAGGGCTACTGCTGAAGAGACCCCGACTCTTCTGCCCATCAGCCTCACTATCTTACAGTCTGGTACACAAGCAGGGCCTTGGATATTGATCTCGGAATTCAGGCAGGTTCATGTAACCTGGACTCACACCCTTTAGGGCTTTAAAACCAGTACCAGCACTTTAAACTCAGCCAGGAAATGATCTGGCCACCGAGCCAATTGGCAAAATACAGGCATCCTATGATCCTGCTACCTAAAACAGCTATTCAGATTCTTTGCTGTTTTTGCTCACAACAAGGAACATCAAATCGGGGAGGTGTGTGCCCCTCCCCTGCCCCGGCCCTCATCTGTATTTCCTGCATGACCTCAAACTGCTTCTGCTGCTTTTGACTCTCTGGCCCCACTTTAGCGTTGGTCTTGCTAACGGGTTATAAAAGGCATTCCATTTTGTGAGACTTCTGTATTAAAAGCACAGTGATTGCAAAGAATGTCACGTGTCAAAATCCACCGTAGGTCAATATTTTCTTAGAATCAATCTGAGCATCACAACGTAGTGAGCAATTCTGGTTAGACCTAGTGATGGCAAAGGTGTATTTTGTTCCAAATGCGTTTGCCTGTTACCCTGAGATCTTGCATTTCTTTCAAAGTGTCACCTGTGGCTCTTTAGCATGGGATCCATAACATATTCTTGCACCTCCATCTCAGATTAGAGGGATCCAAAGAAAGGGTTACGATGTGCTCAGTATTAATGCCAGACAGGCTATCGCTCCTTGGAGTGGAGGGGAGGGTGGCGCCTCGCTCCTGTGGGAGACTCGGCCTGCACTGGTGCCCTGGCTGTCTGTCTGGCGGGGGAAAGGGCAAGGAAGACAAGGAGCAAGGGGGAAGCCATGTTTCCAGAACAGATTGTGCCCACTGTAAAAAACAACTTGCACCGTTTGAATGTCCTGACACCAGCCCTCCTCGTCTGCTTTCAGTCAATGTCGTGGAAGCTCTCCAGGAATTCTGGCAAATGAAGCAGTCACGTGGGGCCGACCTGAAAAACGGAGCGCTGGTGGTCTACGAGATGGTCCCGTCCAACAGCCCCCCTTACGTCTGCTATGTCACGTTGCCGGGGGGGAGCTGCTTCGGCAGCTTTCAGGTTAGATTGCCTCCGCGCGATGTTTGGGACGGGTTCACTTTTCGCCTTAATCTTCTTATGGATCATTCCATCTGGTAGGATTGAGGATAAAGTCGCGTGCAAATGTTTTTAGTGGGGCCACGGCAGGGTACTTGTCCCAGTACAGGCAGTCCCTGGGTTGTGAACAAGTTCTGTTCCTGAGAAAACGTACATTCATCTTTGAGTTGAATTGCTATATAAGTCGGATCAGGTATAGTTGGCCCTCCACATTTGTGGGGGGTTAGGGATGCAGGACAGTGGAAAAATCAGAAATATCTCTAGCCCCACCTCCCTGCCCAAACTCACCAGCACCTCCTCGTTGCACCCAGGAAATGCCAGTGCAGTTTCTCTCCCTGGATGGACAGGATGGGAAGCCAGGCTTTGGAGGCCTCACTTTCTCTATGGCGATGCTTTAGAGGCCCTGCCTCTCTCCCCTATCACTTCCTCTCTGTGGGGATGACAATATTCTGCAGTAATTTTGTAAAAAAGTAATAGACTGTATGGCAGTTCGGTTGTAAGTACAGGGTGTTTGTAGCGCAGACGTTCATAACTCAGGGATTGCCTGTACTTCAGCCAGCCCTGGCCCAAGACTGGCGCCCAGGTAGCTGTGCAAAGCACACCATGTGGATGGTGGGGTGATGGATCAGCGCCAGGCACACGAGGAGGGCATTGCGCAGGTGCAGAACGTGCCCTGGTCAATTGCAGCGATGCTGGACATGTTCCCTGAGCCACTTCGGCCCCTGCAGGGGCTTCTAGGTTGGGCTTGTTGGGCTCAAGCAAGAGGCAGTCAGGATAGTCCGCCTGAGAACTGTCCTTCCATTCACTGACCTGCGAAAGCCGGTGTGTCACCCGAAACGTTGCTGGTGCTTCTGTGCCAGAAGTTTCAAAGTACATCCCTCTCTGTTCTATGCCCTGTAGGTTTGCAGGCGTTCTCAGCCTTTTAGGGCTCATGCGCATGTTTGGAATATGGAGGGAGCGTTGTGAGCAGTCTTGCAAAATGGCGGGTGTTGTGGGTCTTGCCCTTCCATAAAGCGACTGCTGTGTTGGGTATGGCAGAACACCCATTTTCCAGAAAGCAATCTAGTGGCGCTAACAGGAAAATGACTAGCCCCCAAACTGAGTTCAAGGCAGAAATGAGAGCTGAGCACGAACAGGCGCCTTCCCGGCGGCAGCACCCATCCTCTGGAGAACCCTTCCATGGGCGACATGGGCCCCGCAAAGGGGGTACCTTGCAAATGTGCCCCAAAAACACAGGTTCGCCCGCTCTTCCTCTGGCTTTTAATTAACTGCATTTCCGTGCTGTCCCATCTTACCATTCCTTCCGGACCTGTCTTATTGTGATTGAAATTGTTTTGTGCATTTTAAATGTGGTTTGCATTACTGCAGAACTCACTGTTGTTTTCAATAGCATATTTAACTGTGATTTTTAACCTATGTGAATTAGGGGTTTATTGTATTAGGCAGTCTCTAATATATAACAAATAAATGAACAGGCAAACAAACAAGCCTGCTCTTTCAAGTCCAAATGAAAATGCTGCTGGAGAGCATCTGGAATCCTTAAATGAAACAAAACTCTTGTTCGTGCCCCCTGAGTCCTGCAACCGCAGCGGGTCAGACCGAGGGCCTTCATGGCCCCTCCCAGCTCTGCTCTTCCCTGATTCCGTGACTTCGGGGCGATAAGGAGGCTGTCAAGCGCCAGGAGAGACACCTGTGTGTGGACCGCAGCTCCTGGACACAACGCGGGGGACCCCCGGCGGCAGAGATAACAAGGTGTTTTGACTGCACTGAGCTGTAGTTCCACCTCTGCCAGCCTGGTGCCCTCCTGACATTTTGACCAACCACTCCCAGCATTCCTGGCCATAGGCCAAATGGCTGGGAGTGATGGGAATTGAAGTCCCACACATCTGGAAGGCATTAGGTTTGGGCAAGGCTGCTCCAGTCTGTGGGATCGCAACAGGCACCCAGAGAAGCAGCCCTGGTTTCTGAAGTTCCTGCCCGCTTGGAAGACAGCAACCTGTGTTTGGAGTGGGCGGTTGCAGCCTGGTTTAAGCTAATTAATTTTGTTGACAGACCCAGCTGTGGTATTTCCTTCCGCCAGTCAGATTTGCTGAGTTCAGCTGCCTCTGCAATTCTTTCACGCCACATGGCTGGAGTCGCTGGGTTTTAAAGTCCTTTCCTAATGACTTCAGGATGTTGGGAACATGGCAATTTAGCAGGGCCCAGTGGCCACATAATAACCATTTGGAATAGGGGTGACTCTGGGTGGGATCTAATTGTTCTTGGCCATATGATTATTGCTCCCTTGCCGGTTGTATTCCTCTTTCTCCTCTCCTCTCCTTCCCACTTCCCCACCCAGTTTTGTCCAACAAAAGCTGAGGCCAGGAGGAGCGCCGCAAAAATTGCTCTGATGAATTCCGTCTTCAATGAGCATCCATCCCGAAGGATCACGGATGAGTTTATTGAAAAGAGTGTCTCGGAGGCTCTGGCATCTTTCAACGTAAGTGATTCCAAAGACCCTGTGGGCTGTAATTATCGGGGCAGGAAAACGGTTCTTGACTTTCCCTTTCACCCTTCAGAATGCAGACGCTCGTCTTCTCCCAGTTACACGCCTGCTAATTTTCCCTTGGCACTTTCAGTTCAGCCTCTGGAAGGCCGACATTAGCCTTTTCTCCAACCCTTCCAGCTCCTACTGCAGGAGCCTCTGGCCCTGCAAACTGCAGCTCCCATCAGCCTGCCCCCAGGCTAGCCTGATGCAGCCAAAACAAGTATTCCAGTTCTGTTTATCGCTGGTTGCCTGACAGAGTTGGGCAGTGCGGAGAGGCGGGTGGGGCTCGGAGAGGCTGGTTTTGGTTATGGATTCGTTCATAGCCCTCCCCTGCTGCAGATTCATTGGCCAGCCTGAGGCCGGTCCTTTTCCCTTCGTTACCTGTTTGTGAAATGGGAGTACTGTTGACATAACGTTAATTTTAGGGAAAATACAAGATCCTAAATTATCCTGAAATGTAAGAGCCGTGTCAGAATCAAATGACATACACAGGTTTGATTACACTAAGCCTGTTTACTGTGAAATCAGGCTGACATTTTAGCTTGTTTAATGCCTTCTGCATTCTCAGCTAGGTCAAATCAAGCAATGAGGGAAGATGCCAAATCTTTATTCAGCAGAGGACTGGGAAGGAGGCACGTACTGAAACTTCGAAAGCATCAGTGCTGTGCATTTTTCTTTCATTTGTGTACACATTTAATTGCCATGGCAGCCCTCCAAATTGCTGGGAATGGCAATTTGGCACATGGTAGGAATTCTATGGGATTATTAGCTCAACCCATGAGCTACAGTTCCCACGAATGGATGGCTCCTAAACCGCTAATGAAACCTGAAGTGTAGCCATGCTCGTAGCACGTTCTCTGTACCTGTACCTCAAATCTCCATCCTGTCATTTAAAGAGTTGGCTGTCAAAGTAAGATTTGAGCGCCAAGAGCCATTCCTGAATAACGTGGGTGCCTGTGTCCATGAGGCTTGCGACGTGGCCGCATCCTCGTGTAAGCAGAATAAACCCAAGGTGGGTCCTCGGCGGTGATCTTGGACAAGTGCAAGTGATTCGGCCTCATGCACAGGCCCCGGCCCGCTCCTTTCATGTGGCGCAGAGAAGGCGTTTGCCTGCGTGTCATTTGCTTTCCCCCAATCTCTGCAGCTGCTGTGTATCCGCTATAGAATGTGGCCTGTTGCACACACTTGCTAACCTCGTCAGCTTTGACGAATAAATCTTCTCTGCCACGTGGCAGGTTCGTGGGCGCTCCCCCTTAAGGATGCCGCCCAGGCGGTCTCCCCAGCTGGCTGTGCTTGAGGGATGCGGGCATGGGAAGGAAGGCCAGTCCATCGGCCCTGACGGAAGCTGCAATCTTGCCGCTTTCCTCCCTGCCCCTTTTTTCATCATATATTGTATCTTTGTTCCATTGCAAGCCAGGAACTTCCTGGTAAGCTGCTCTTGGATCGGCTTTGTGATTATTTATCAGGATAGTCTTGCATGTGGACAGATTTCATAGTGTGAAGGATTTATTGATTTAAAACGTATTTTACCGGCTCCTCAGTCTAGAAGGCTCCCATGGCAGCTTAGATATTCAGTGAAAACAAACAGACCACTGCCCACCCGTATGAAAGACACCAAAGGAGAAAGGGATAGGGAGGGAAGAGGAAGAAGGCAGACTTGGGCTCCAGTGTCTCAGTGAACCGTTTGTTCCATAATGATCCGCTGGGAGCAGTTCGGGGAGGCAGAACGCGGAGCTGGTCCAGCAGGGCTGGTGGCGCAGCCTCGCCGCTTCCCTGTGTCTCTTCCTCCGCGTGGGCCGTAAGGCAAGTGTGCTCCAGCCACTGCATTTGTCTCGTGCCAGAAACAAAGTCGTGCTTCAGAGGTGGGCCCAGTAGGAATTACGCATGCATTGTGCTTCTGTACCCACGGGGCTCCCAGGGTGGTGTACCATTTAAAACATAGACATCACAGAGACGTTCTAGTCATGGGACGGCATATAACAGCTTTTTAAAAATAAAATAAGTACATAAAATCCAGCAATAAAACAGAACAATAAAACCCACTAGAAAACTCTACAAACCCAACAGCAAACAACCACAACAGTCCGTAAATCAGCACCTGGCACAGCAGTGATGATAAAACAAGCCTAAATTGGGGTTTTCACCTGGCCCCTAAAAGAGAACAAGTTACCAGGCATGGCTCTGTGGGGAGCACGTTCCACAAATGGGGTGCAACCACCGAGAAGGCCCCTCCCCTATTTGCCACCTGCTTTGCTTAGGGGGTGGCTCTTGAGAGGGACCTTCCCAGCAGATCTCAGTGGTTGGGTAGGGATACATGGGAGCAGGCGTGATACAAATGCAGGTATCCTGGCCCCCAGGCCATTCAGAACAAGCACTTTCTCCGCAGCCAGTGCAACTGAGAAAGGACTGGCACGCAGACTAGACCTTGCTAACAGTTGCGCCACCCCGTTTGGAACCAGTTGGCGCTCCGGGACCCTCCTAAAAGCAATCCCATGCAGGGTTCACTACAGTTGTCCAAGTGAGGTTGCCCGTGTGTGGATCGCTGAGGCCAAGCCCTGCCTGTCCAGGTGGGGCTGCAGGTGGCCAAGCAGCGGAAGCTGGCAAGGGGCTCCCCGTGCCACCGAGTGCACCTGAGGCTCAAGGGGCAGTTCTGGCTCCCGTGCGGCAAACCCTGCCTTCAGGGAGGGAGGCCACCCCACCCGGGGCAGGCTGAACAGCGCCCAGCCGGACAGACGACCCCCCCGCCAGCAGCGGCTCCGTCTTGCCAAGACTGAGTCTCAGCTTGTGGGCCCTCGTCCAGCCCTTCGCTGAGCTCGGGCACTGCTTCAAGACGGCCACTGCCTCACCTGGACTTGGTGAAAAAGAGGGGTAGAGCTGAGTGCCATTTGCACATGGATGGCCTCCCCCAGTGGTGTCATGTAAATGCTAAAGAGCATGGAGGAAGGAATTGACCCCTGAGGGACCCCATGGCATAACTGCCGTGGGTCAGATCAGCCATCCCCCGGCGCCACCTTCTGGCCATGGCCAGTCAAGCACCAGCAGAGCCTCCACAATGCGGCGCCTCCTCTCCTAGCCCAGCCGGCCCACCCAGAAGGATTCCGTGGCTGATGGTGGTCCAGGAGGACCCGCCTCTGTCCTGGCTAAGGCCATCCCACCAGTGGGCAAGGCTGTTTCTGCTGCAGACCCTGGCCTGAAGCCCGCTTGAAATGGGCCTGGACAGTTCATTCCATCCAAGAGTGCTTGGAGATGCCGGCCTCCACCCACTCCAACGTCTTGCCCGGGAAGGGAATGTTGGCCACTGGCCCATCCTGATTGGCATATTCTGGGTCCAAGTGGGGCTTTTTAAAGAGGGGTTCAGTCGCAGCCTCTTTTAAAGGGCCGGCACCACTCCCTCTCTCAAGACGGCAGGTGTGAACCCCCTCCCGAGACCTTCCAGTCAGCCAAGATGCGCAAGGATCAAGCAGGGGGGGTAGGATGGACCTGCCCAAGCCCCTTGTCCGCAGCATCAGGCCTCAGCAACGGGAACTCCTCCATCAGCACCGAACCAGACACTGCTCTGGGTGCTTCTGTTAACGGAACTAAATGAACCATGGAGTCCAACACATCTGAGCGACTTTATCTTCAAAGAGTCGGGCGAATCCCTCACAGTGTGCCGCCAAGCGTTCTGCACCCCCCGTGGCGGCCTAGGATGTAAAAGCCCCCAGAGCACTCAGAAAAGCTCGGCTGGGCAGCACTCTGAAGACGCGGTGCCGGTGGCAAGGAAGGGGCGGTTCGTCGCCCTCCCGGCCAGGCGAGCGGCTCGTGAATGCGCCCTAGGCCGCGTTCGGCTGGCTCAGCGCGAGACCGTCCACCCAGCTCTGCTCGCCCCCGCCTTGCCTCCTCGCTCTCAGCTGCACTGCCTGCGGGGAGCTGCCCGAGGGCCGCAAGGGCGCCTGGGGCAACCGCGCCAACCCTCCGGGCCGCCTTCGCCTTCCGCAGGGCGACTGGGGCTTCGGCAAGAGCACCGACCCCCCGCGGGAAATTCCCCCAGAGACCCCTGGAGACCGTCGGGATCCATTTGCCTCTGGGGCCGGGCCATTTTAGGAGGCCCCTCACCCAGCAGAGGGAAATGGGGCCCACGTCTGAACCTCAGAAGGAAATGGTCTGACCGTGACAACAGCCGTGTTGCTCTTGAGCCCTCCCCTAGCAGCACGTCACCCTTCTGTCCGGTCAGGCTGTGTCCTTTTACGTGCCTGGGGCCACAGCGGCCATGGAGTCCTGAGCTGCCCCGGATGAGACCAGATCACTCCTGCGACTTGGTCAGTGGAGATAATGAGCAGGCGAAGGTCAGCTAGGCCTCCCTCGGCACTATTTAAGTGGCAGGACTGCTTTGCCGCTCTGCATTCTCTGGTCTAGTTTCTTTTTAACTCGTTTAAGCAGAACTGCTACATCAACAGCAGGGGGGATAATTTGGAGCAGTGGCTTCTGTGGAAAGAGAAACACTGCATTTTGTGGGGGCCTGTTTCTGCAAACCAGAGGCAGCAACAGAAACATAGAAACAGAGCCAGTCAGAAGGGGTCTCCTGGGCCATCTAGTCTGACCCCCGGCTCCACTCATGGAATACCTACCATGTGCATCTCCAGTGCCCATTTTAAATGGATGCCCATTTTAAATAGGTATTTTAAATGGATATCCACTGAAAAATCCTCAAACTGCTCAAGTCCATGTGGCTCACTTGAATTCTAATCACACGTTAGGGGTCTATGGCAGAGTGGAACTGTTTCTGCTTACTCGAAACTCCTGAAATGGTTGTCTTTCTTGCAGGGGAACAGAGAAGAAGCAGATAATCCAGGCACAGGCATCGGTGCTTTTCGCTTCATGTTGGAGTCCAACAAAGGAAAGTCCATGCTAGAATTCCAGGTACTCTTTGAATGAAGCAGCCCAGTCTTCACTTTTAGAACTTGCGGACTGTATACGCAAGGCCAAGAAAGCCTTAATCTTTCAAAAACTGCCAGTTAAAGCAAAATGTGAAGTAAAGGGGGAGACCAGATTGTCTAGAAACACAAGAGGGTTTGGCTTCCTATAATTCAGAAATATGGGCATAACCCATAAGAGTGAAACCTGTATAATGCTTTAAACATGCGTACTACTTAAGGAATTAATAGTTCTTACTTGTTCAGTTTTGTTGACTGAACAAAAATTGGAATTTTGGATAAGTTGTAAATCTTCTGTCTGTGTGAGCGGAAGGCAGAGGGAGAGGGAGAGAGATAAATTCAGGCATTTCTTTTCTGTATCAGTTTGCCTTTGGAGGGAGAGAAATTGGCCTACTTAATTGAGGGAAAAAAGCTTATCCAGCCTTCCCTGGGACTTAGACTGCCTCTCCTTTGATCCTGCTCCTGGGACTGGAGAGATGCCGTGCAGGATTCTTGAGCAATTAAACCTTGCAAATGCATTGACGGAACTGTGAACATTGCTTATTGTATGTCCTTGGAGGCATCGCTGACTGTCACTCAACGTTGGCAGCACACTGAATAGGGCGGAACTAGGTCAAGGGAGAGGGGCCCCCGGAGTTCAACGGTTAGGGCCTGGAATGGGGCCAGGCTGCTTTCCGAAGGCAGGCGCCTCAGCCTGACACTTCGTCTGGGGGTTTGCTGGGAGCCCGCTTCTCCTTGGCTTCGTCTCCCATGAAGGGTAACAGCCCCACGGGCTGGCAGCGTGTGGTTTGCATTCGTGGGCCTGTTCAGACAGAGCGGCTCTGTTGTCCGCATGTTCCCTCCCTCCTCACCGTGTGTCTGGGGCCGCCTGTGTGCATGAGAGCTCTTTATGGGGTTGCTCTTGGAATCAGCAGAGCTTGGCTTTGCCGTTGCTTTCTTTGTGCAGCACAGAGGCCCTGGGTCTGTGTCAGCAAGACACATAAGTGCTTGAGACACGGTCCGTGCATCTCTCGGGATTATCCGTACAATCCTTCCGCAGATGTCAGTGTGTTTCCCCAGATGGCCAGCGCCGGTTGTTTGGTTGTTTGTTTCAGTCCAGCTACGCAACGCAGGAGCATTAGAATAACACTGTGTTTTTACAGGCCCTTCAGACATGCAAAGGGCCTTTATAAAGGCGGGGATTGTCATCCATGGATCAGTGATCACTCCTGTCCTGTCTTAGCATACAATCCTATCGCACTAAATCGGGAAAGGACACCTGGAGAGCAGTGAGCTCTCCCTTCCTCCCCATGAATACCAAAACTGCTGCACCTCGGTGTTGGATCACAGCCAATTGCAGACAGATTTAGGTGTGCTCTCTAGAAATGTGGGGTTCTGGAACACAGATCAGTGTATTTTGAGTGCATGTAAGTCACTCTTCCAAAATCGTCCCACGATAGCTTCCAGCAGCAAATATTACAAAACTCATTATAGAGCACTACACAATAAAAGAAACAGAATCCTCTAAAAGCAGAAGTTAGGGGAGCCACATAGAGCTAATAACCTGGGCTTTAAAAGTTACGGTTTGGAAGGTTTTGCTGGAAGCCAAAATGACATCAAGAGAGGCACCTTGTGAACATTTCTGGAGAGATTTTTCCACAAAGAGAGCACCCCTTCCTTTCCCAGCCACCACCCACACGCCTGCGACAAGGAGTGGAGGAGAGCGGTCCATAAGCCTGATAGCAGCACATGAAACGATCAAAGGCGAAACGCCAGCACTTTGAATCGAAGGCGTGCGCAGAACTGAGCTGCTTTCCTTTGGCAGGAGCTGATGACCGTCTTCCAGCTGCTGCACTGGAACGGCAGCCTCAAAGCCATGCGAGAGAGGCAGTGCTCACGACAGGTAAGCAGCGCCTGCGGGAGGCTCCCCGGCGCCCGACCCTCGGCGCAAGGTGCGTGCAGCTGGCGGAGCAGCAGATGGGGGGGTGGGGGCGCACTCGGCGTCTCTGCGCCTGCAGCGGTGGGGCCTGGGACTGCCCGTGCGACGTGGGGACTTCCAGCGGGATCCAGCCGGCGCTTGGATCCAGCCGGAGGCGGGCACTGGCACATCCCTTCTCAGGCGCACAGGGCTCGTGGCGGCAGCGGGGCAGCGGTCCCTGCTCTGCCGAGCGCACGTGGCTTCCCCGCAGTGCTGCCCTCCGGCCCACCCCTTGGCCACGAGCGCTCCCCGTGGCGGGTCCCGGGCAGCTCCACCCCCTGCCCTGGGTTGGGCGGGCCCCTCGGCCCAGAGACCCCGCTCACGCTCAGACTCGCCTGCAGGAGGTGCTGGCCCACTACTCCCACCGCGCCCTGGACGATGACATACGGACCCAGATGGCCGCGGACTGGGCGACCCGGGAGCGCAGCGTGCCCGGAGCCCTGTCCAGGGAGCTCGCCTCGACGGAGAGGGAACTGGACGATGCCCGGCTGGCAGGGAAGGAGCTGCGCTTCCACAAGGAGAGGAAGGACATCCTCATGCTGGCGGCGGGCCAGCTGGGGAACACACACTCCTCCAGCTGTTAGGACGGCAGCGGCTGCCCCCTCCTCACCCCCTGCCCTGCCCCGTCCCCTCCCAGCCCTGCCCCCTCCCCGCCCCCAAAACTAGCCTCCTGGAGGGAGGGACCACCTGGTGCTGCCACACACCCGAGGGAGCAGAGCCTTCCTCAGGGCCTTGCGGGCTCGCTTGCCTTCTCGGCCCTACAACACGCTGTGTGGATTCCAGGGGTTTTAGGCGAAACCACTTGTCAAGTGTTGGCTGCCTGGCCTCCCGCCACCCAAGCACTTGCAAGATCTCGGTATCCTTCAGCCAGGGAGCAAAGCGAACCTTTCAGAATCTGAATTTTGAAGTTTGGCAAGATGTTGAGTTCAGAGGTCCACTTTCATTCTAAGATGAACCACATCACAAGCATGCGCACAGGCGTCTCCTTTCCAAGAACAGGGGCCCGTTTTTAAAACTTCTTTGTTAAAAATTTCTATATAGACTTTTATATCTGGATCTTTTTCTCTCACCGCTAGAGAATTTCTTATAGAGCACATTTTGCGATAGCCTTTTCAATATTAAATAGATTCACATTTACTTGCTTAGATCTCAGTTTTACCCAGGTACTGTACAGTCAGCAGTATTAACTGGAAATGTCGCATTGCCAGGAAAATGCCAGTGTTTCCCACAGAGTGTAAAGCATAGCTACGTGTTAGGCCGGGTTGCGGAACCCGCGTCCTGTGGACCAAACCTGGCCCAAGTGTGGCTCACCGGGGTTTCCCAAATGGCTGTGCCCCTTTCCCCCAAACACCAGTCATTTGCTGGTTGACCAGCTTTTGGGTAGTCCTTCCCCCCTTCTAGAAGGGTGAAATGCCTCTTGTAGGGCTTCGTCACCGACAGGCAAAATAGGCCAGCATTCGTGCCCTTGCCTTTGCCCCCTCCGACGCCGGAGTGCCTCCAGAACGGGCTCTGCATTCCTGTGCCAGGCGAACCCGTGCACCTCTGCTTTTGGCAAACCTTGATAAGCTCCACCTCACCTTGAAAGCACAGCACGCAAGAGGCTTCTTTCCGCTGTTCTTCTCCTGGGAGGGTTCGCGTTGGGAGAGGCGTCAGCGTTGTGGCGTCTTGGCCTGCCCAGTGTCTTCCTGCCACATCCTCCCCACTGTGAGCACCCCGGTTCCTCTTCCCATGCTGCGAAGGATGGGCTAGCGAGATGCGTCTGGGCCTGCCTCGGACTCGCCACAGCTGATTTAACCCGTTACGGGTTGTAGCGATTGGTGGTGGCCAGTTTGAACATTTGCTGTTAACTGTGGCTTATCATGGCAAGGTTGGGTTGTTGGCATCATTAACAAACCACGCACAGCCCTAAAACAGACCATGGGTTATGGGCGGTTTGTTCACCATGCCAGCAACCCTCCCACCCTTTTGGGGTTTGGATGGCATGATAAACCATGGCACTCAGCACAGCCTGACTATGCAAACAGTTCCCAGCATCCAGTGCAACTTTTGCTTGCTTAAGCAAGCTGCGGTGAACTGTGGCAATCACGTGGACTGCCCTGGTACGATTATTTCCTCTTCTCTTCATGCCTCTGCCAGGCAGTTGCTCTACGGATGGCTTATGTTAAGAGGAAATCTTGGCGCCAGGCCAGTAGGTGCAAGATACTTAAAGGCGTTATCCTGGCCGAAGAGGTGACGTTCATCTTCTGATTAAGCTTACTGGGGAGCATCGTCAGAAGTACTGCTTCTCAGGTGCACCACAGATGCTCCTCGCCCTCTTTTCCGTGCCAGCCCCATCTGCCTAATGAATTCAGAATTGTTTGAATGGGTTGCAGTTGGTCCACACTGCCCTCGCTTGTGTGTCACGGCCGTGGGATGCACGCCGGAGACTGCTGGTTGCTTTAAACAACCTCCAGGTGGACAATTGTCGGGTTAAGCTGGGTGGTGTTGCTGCTCCTGAAGAACTCAGTCAGTGTTGGCTTGTTGTGCTGATAGCGTCTGGTCATACCAGTTGGAGACTGTTGAAGGAAACCACAAGTGGCTCACACACAGCGCATCTCCCCACAACTTATTAACCCACAATATACTGCTGAGATGTGCAAACAGCCTTACTGGGTCACAGAGGAAAGCCAAGAAAAGACCAATTGAAATGCCTCAATTTCCAAGATTGGGCTCATTTCACACCAGAGCCCTGGACTCCGGTGGTGCTCAAGGTTTTGCTTATGTTGTTGTGTCAGACAGTGTGCAGAGTTGCTGTGAAGTGTGCTGCATGCGGCCCACACACCCTGCCATTGGTGTCTTGGAGCCTGCGGTGGCACGCTGGCTTGCAAGGTGGCCACAATGACGGGAGCATCTTGCTGGTAAAATGGCCACAGTTCAGTCATTCATTAATAATTGGGCGCTGCAGGGAGAAATTAGCCTCTTCGGGCATTCCAAAACTTTTCTAGAAAACAAACTTTTATATGCACTTTTGAAGAAGAGAATAAAACTAGGAGCAGGACTCTTAAACAAGCAATACTGGGCATGTATATAGAAAGCGTCGCATGAGGCAAGCTTCAGAGGCCGGGTGCTCCGGGAGCGGGAACGCGCTGCTGCACATGAAGAGGACAACTCTGTCCGATGGTCAGCTCACAGCTGGGCCCCGAGAAGCAACTTCTGCTTGTGCCATTCGCCTCTGTCTCTGCAGGAGGCAGCGGACTGCCCTCCGAACTAAGACAGGAACCTGAACTGGCAAAATGTGGCGATTAAGGGAAAGTTGCACCTGTATCTGTAGGGGAAGCTGGAAGAGGAACCCTAAACACTAAAAAGGGGGAAGGGTTCAGGTTACAGGAGAAACCAGTCCTCTCAAGAGTGCTGGGTTGTGATACTTTTGCATCGCCATCCGAGCCTTACATGTCTACTCAGAAGTAAGTTGCGCAGTGTTCAGTGGGGCTTGCTGCCAGGGAAGATAGTGGCCTTAATTTAGCTTGCTCGCGGTCCATTTCTGGAGTCCTTAACCTAAGATCATGACAGCCCAACGCTTTTGTATCATCTGAGATGGTTCCAGGATTCACTGTGTTCCCAAGTTTCAGTACCTAATTCTGGATGAAATGGGGATTTTAATATCTTGGTCCTGACTGTGAACACCAAGCAAGTGGTTGGTAGTTAATTCAGCTTAATTAAGGTTGCATGCAGGGTGTAATCAACCCACCAGATTCTTACAGCAGCATCAGGAAAGCAGCTGTGGTGACAGTTAAGGCCTGGAGCTTTATATCGTCTGACTCATGGGAGTAACAAAAATTGCAGCAAATCTTAGCCGCAGCACTGTGTCCTTTGCCTGAGGAAGGCGGGGGAAAATTGATTTGATCCCGGTTCGTCAGGGCTACCTGCCTCGGATTTCTGGGACCTGTTCTGCTCATGCACGCCACACGCAAGAGGCTTGCTGCAGGCCGCGGAACAGCAGCCGCCCGAGGACATGCCACGTGCAGGGTTGAACAAGAGGCAGCTGGAGCAGGCCCCCCGGCTCTGCCTTTCTGAGCACGATGAAACACGCACAGGAAAATCCTTGGCAGCTGGAGGGGGGGGGGGTGCAACATCTTCTGTCTTTTCCCTTCCTGCAGCACTGTAGCTTTCTCTTGCATTGTGAATGAAACTCTCGGACCCTTCTGGTTATTTCTCCTGTGAGGAAAAATAGCCTGGCTTCCTGTCGCCTTCAGGAAGTCCTTTTATGGTATAACCCACTAATAGCAATAATTCTGATGGCTCAGAAAACAATCGAAATTTGTCACGGGATGATGGGGCTGGATGCCCTCGTTCAGCTGGAGCACATGGTGCTGAGAGTGTCTGCGTCAGCTTTGACTCTTGCTTTGCAGGCAGAGGACAAAAGGGGCTGCGAGTGTGCAGCCAGGCGTGTGGCTGCGTCCTTCCTTTTTAAAAATACAAGCCGATGTGGAAACACGTGTGTCTTGTGTCGTTTGCACAAGGATGCAGCTTAAGGCATCAGCCTTCTCTGTGTGACAGCACAGCAGCTGCTGGAGGCCTGCAGCGAGGTGACAGCGCAGGCTGGGAAGCCACGGCCGAACCCTGAAGTCGGTCTGCTATATTGCCCTACGAAGCCAGAGGGGCCGGACCCACCTCAAGCCCCAGCTAGAGCAGGTGAAGGGGCGAAAAGAAGTGAAAGACAGGCCAGCAACGGGGGGACCAAGGCCACAGGTAAGAAGTTGGTGGCGAGCCGAAGAAGCCCAGCGGGAGGAAGAATGGAGGACGCGCCATGGCGGGGAGAAACGGACCGAGTGGGCGAAGCGTGTCCAGCCGAGGGAGAGGAGACACAGCGGGCTGGACGGCTGGAGAAAGCCCCACGGGTCCTCGCCGTCGGGGGCAGTGGGATGGCGCGGCAGGCAGAAAAGGCGTGCGCAGGCGGCTGTGTGCGGCTGCCAAGAGCAACCGGGGCAGCCTGTCCCGGCCCTCCGTGGCCGCGCTTCTCCACCGGAAAGGCCCTGCGTGACGTGACTAGGCAGCACGAAGCGGCTTGTCCGTCTGCCTTGCCCAGCCTCTGCACGAGGTGCTGCACCAGCCATGGACAAGACCGGCGCCTCGTGGCACCCGCATCGCGCACCACCATCCCAGAGCTGGATCGCAGACTTGCCGCGGCTTTCCGCCCAGAGCCCCCGCGTGGCTCGGTGGGGCGGCTGCTGCAGGGCATCTCCACGCTGCTCAGGCCGGAGTCGTGAGCTGACCAAGGTGCAGGTGGTGCCACCCACCATGCAGAGAGCTGGTGAGGAAGCTCGTCTGACCAAAAGAAGCAAGTCCCGGAGCGACCGCGACGGCCACGGCACTTCGCCACCAACAGGCCGGCTCGGAGCAACATGCAGGCAGCTGCGAGGGTGAGGGAAAGGGTTTCTGAGGCTGCTTTGGCTGGCTTCAAAGATCCCCGCAGAGGGCAAGGTTGTGGCCTCATCTGAAACCTCCTGAATAGGCAGCAATGGCCACAGGGTGGCCAGAGCCCCAGTGGGCCCTGATTTGGAGCCCTTGTCTCAAGGGGACCAGAAGAGGAGACGGAGCACTGCTAAAGATAAAAGCAGCCTGGTGGGGACTCTTCCTCCAAGTGAGATGACGCACAGATGACATTTGAGAGACTTGGCACCCTTCGGTACATGCGAGGCCTCTGGGCGGATGATGAGGCCGAGGTGACAGCCTAGGACTGCCACGGGGACCTCTGAACAAGTTGCTGAGTTGATACTCCTGGAATAATATCCAGTTGTCCCCCATCCTCCCTCTCCTTGGACTTGGAGGTTCTGGATACAGCCGCCCAGGGAATGGAGGCGTATTCCATGACTGGGGATACTGAATGAATTTACCCGTTGGGGGGAGACTGCCAAGGACTCGTCCTTCGTGCCTTGATGGGTGAGCACTGGAAGAGGACACGGGCAAGGCCGGCATCACAGCTCCCGCACACTGGACTTTGGGCCAGGATCAGGTCATCCAAGCGAAGCAACACCGGTCTGTCTCTGGAAGTCGGGGATATCGCTGAGAGCGCCACTTGCAAAGACGGGCCGAGCCAGCCACACCTGCCCAGGTGGCCTCGCTGCAGAAGGTGCTTTCACTGAACGACCAGCTGCTGCTTAGGTGATGGGGCTCTGGGGAAGCCGTAGGTGCTCCTGGTCTGGGTGGGCAGGATGTGCGAGAACATTCGCAAGGAGCCCCTTGCAGCTGCCCTAAAAGGGTGGCAGGCCTCATGGATGAAGGCTGTGGGGAAGGGTTCGTGCAGGCTTTGGGGACCACTCATGAACGTGAGAATAGCCGTATCTCGGAAGAGCGGCTTGGCTCTTCTGGAGATGTGCCTGTGAGGCTGCATTAGGCAACCCAGCCGAGAGTGGAAGGCAGGCCCACGCGGAAGGCTGGCTCTGCTGGTTCGGTTAGTGGGCCTGGTCTGGAGGCCTTTTTGAGGAACTGAGTACTGTGCAGGACTGGGACTGGGACCGCTCCCCTGCACCAGATGTGACCTCATGTGCATCGAGCTGCTGGCCGTGATTTTGCATTCTTTTTTTATAATGGCCACCCAGCAGCTGTTGGGGGCTGTCCCAGGACGTGCTTTCTGGGAACTTGGAAGCAGATAGCTGCGCCTGGGAGTTTTGATCAGTTAGTTCTTGGCTGCTTCACCCTGAACAAGCAGACTCGGAGGCCTTGAGTGCGGCTTTGAAGCCCGAGTTCAGAGGCTTGGCCTGGCTCTCTCACCCCCTCACTTAAATAGGGAGGGAAGACATAAGGGATTTCCGAAGAGGTGGGGCGTTGTGGCTGTCTGATGCTGAGCTCCGGAAGCGGCTTACTTTTGGCCTCGGCACCTTGTAATTCGTATACCTGAAATGCTAAAATTGTCTTGTCCTTTATATATATATATATTTTTAATACAGCCTTGTTTGCACAATTGTATTAACCTGTAAGAGCATTTGTAACGTTGGCTTATAAAGTGTATTTTGAAGGGTATGTACACACGTCTCAGACTTCACCCTCACTCATGTGGACAGACTGCAGGGTTTAAGTTCCTTCTTACAAGCCAGTAGCTCCTGCATTTCTCTCGAGGAGACCTGCCTACAGACCTCTGCTGATGGGGATGCTGCAGCTGCCCCGTAGGACCCCACCCCCCAAATCCTTGGTGCTGTTTTTCTGAATTGTTTTTCTGAATCGTCTGCCTCTCTCTCCTTTTTATTCCCTATTTATACTCTCCCAGTTTTCGGTGCTGTTTTTCTAGCTCAGAGGTTACCTAAAAATATTTCCACGTTGTCTACCTTTCCTTCCACGATACGCTATAAAGTCCAGTACTTATTTTGTAATGCATAATTTTATACAATAAAATAGCTTTTCTGGGTAGTGGTTTCCTTTTTCCCCAGCAAGATTCGAGGTTGCTCTTCTCAATGTGCTGGAGCTCCGTCTGCGCCGCCGTGTGTCGCCTTCTTAAGGATAAGCTGCGGACTGTAAGAGCTTGAGAGAGAGCAAGAGCTCATCCTGTCTGCAAAACGCTTTATGGGCTTTTATCTAGAGTAGTGCCTGGATCGGGGCAGATGGCTGCTCCAGTTCTGGCTCTTTTTCCTTGCAGCAAAGGGGCAATGCCGTTGGTTACCTTTTCGGTGACACCGCTTCCACAGAAGGAGAGCCATTTGCTCCTCAGCACCTGGCTCAGTGCTTCTCTTGCAGTCTGGGCTGCATCTGGCCACGAGACGGTCTGCCATCGCTTCTCGTAAAGCGGCTGCTCCAATGCCGAAGCATCTTGCGCTTCCATGCAGTTTGCAGCTGTTTCACATTCGGAACGGCACGTCGCCTCCTCTCGCAACTGCCACCATACCTTCTCTAGGACAAGATACTTTACAGAGGTATTTAGGTTGTGTAACGTTCCCTCCAGAAATAGAGGGCTGTGAAGATGACATTTGCAAGTGGAGACTGTGAAACGGCCCCCTTCCTCTCTTGCGTGGCGCTAATTTGGGGCTCCGGGCTGCTCCAGGAGGTGGTGGAGCAGGCGCACCGGTTGCCTGGGAGCCGCCGCAGGGACCCCCACGGGGCCCGCTTTCCAGTCAGTGACCACCGTGCTGCACGGATCTGGGTGGCCTGGTTTGGCTGGTTCACTAGGCTTCCCTCAGACCCCGTCGCCATGCGACGCACCCAAGAGAGGGCGACAAACTTTATGCCGATTCTATTCTGGTTTGCTATGGGAAATTCCATTTGTAAAAAAATACAAAGCAACACATCCACACACAAGTCACAGAGAAATTAGGCGTCCACCTGCAGTTGAGCACGAGATCCAGGCAAGTGATGCAATTAGTTAAGAGGAACATTTGCTGTTCTGAGGTCCATGTGAAGTGAGGGATTTGGGACGGGAAATCCAAGCTAGTCATTGCGCACGTGGCTAAAACTATTCTCAGATGTGAATTTATTTATCTTTACATTTATAAGCCGACAAACAGCTCAAATGAACTCCCTAGGTGGTGTACAGGAATACATCTCAGCCAATTATTTAATTCTTGTTAAAAATAATCAATAACATAATTAACATAGACTATAGACTGGGGTTAGATACACAAAAGGTTGCTGCTCTTAAACAACTCCACGGCTCAGTGCATCTGTTTGCAGAGCTTTTCTCCCCCTCCCCCCGGAAAATGCCAGTGGGAGGCTCATCAGCAGCGTCCCCACTTGTCCCTCAATGGGACACAAATCCTCTCCCCCTCCCTCAGCTGTCTCCGGAGGCGCTTCTGTGCTCCACATGCCGCTTACAGGACTGCATTTCCCTTAACTTAGAACACCCACATGCCCACCATGTTCTCCCTGGACCCCATCCCTCTGCGGCAGCCCCAGCCTAGACTGGGCCTTGTACATGCCTGCTTACTCTCGAGTAAGCAGGCAGCAGATGGAGCCCAGGCTAGATGGAGCCCTGCTTTCCCTGACTTCACCATACAGGCAGTGAAAAGCGAATGATCTCAACTGGGAGCCAGTCCTCACGCAGCAAACAGCCGTGGTGCCAAGAGGCAGGCCATCCCTAGAGGCAGGCCCAGGGCCGTCTTAACAGCATGATGGGCCCCGGGCAAAGCAGTGTACCGGGGCCCCTACAACAACTACAACTACTGTTAATTTTGGAAGTTCTCCAATTTTCCAAGGGTTTACAGATTAGTATGGGGCCCATGGGCAAGTGCCCATCCGGCCCATGCATCAAGATGGCCCTGGGCAGGCTGCCACCAAAGGGCCAGGACGGCCACGTTTTTCCAGGCCTTCCCCTTCTTCATGTTGCCTCGAGTGCTTTCACCATTCGAGCAGAGTGGGAGCGGAAGGACGGACGATAGGGGCTGTGGGGGCTGAGAAGGAGCGCGCGGCCTGGTGTGGGGGGCGAGCCCCAGCACTGAGGAGAGCAAGATGGCGGAGTCCAGAGGGGCTCCACGTATGAGCCGCACACGCTTGATGCAGCAGGACGCTTCTGCTGGCTTGCGCCCCTTCCAAGTTCAGGTGGGGAACGCATTTCCACGGAGGCGTCCTTGGCAAAGCAAGCCACCTTCCCGCGAGGGAAATGGCTTGCCTGGGAGCTGTGAGTGTGGAGCTGGGGAAGATCTGGGTTTCCCAATCTGCCTCCCAGAGACAGACGGGCTGTCAGTGGGTGGTGGAGCCCTGAGTCTTTCCTTGGATCACCCCCCGCACCTTACCACCCTGCAGTTCAGGGGCCCGGGTGGTTTCCCTTGCACTGGATCCCCCCGGATGTGGTTCACCTCTGGCTGCTCCCCTGCCAAATCTTTCTGCAGGACTTGTTTTCTGAAAGCAAATGCCTTCCTTTCTCCTGTCCATACAAAAAGCAGTGATCTTGGAAGACAAGCTTCTCCAGTGATTCAAACCCAAGCATAGACTTTCCTGTCCCCTGTAAATCGAATCTTTCTGCTGGAGTCCCAGCCACTCGGCCCACCGTGCTGCCTAAAGCACAAGTTTAGGGGCCTGGAGGATCTCGCCTGCGTCCCTTGAGCTGGCTTGCCTTTTGCCCACACGTGCTTCAGCACTTGCTCCCCCCCCCCCCCCGCATCTTTCCACATGAAGTTTTTATGCAGTCCAGTCTTTCTCTCCCTGGTCCGTGCATCCCTTTCGCACGCACAGGCGCCCTTCAGAGACAAGCTGCTTTAGAGGCATTACAGCCAAAGCAGAATCATGGAAGGGAAGAGTCAGAAGGGCTGAAGGCCATCTGACCCTCTGCTCAGTCCAGGGCTCCCAGTTAAACCATCCCTCTCCAGCGTGGGAGAGCCCACCGCCTCCCGGGGTCATGGGTTCCATTGCTGTACTGCTCCAACAACCGGGAAGCTCTTCCTTGTACCTAGCCGGAACCTGGCTGCCTGCCACCTGAGCCCGCTGCTTATTTAGTACTTAAACTGTTTCTATGCCGTCCATTACTGACGACGTTATCCCGCGTCCTGCACTCCGGGCTGATGGAGGAGATTCCAGGACTGGCAGAGCGCTCTCGCATCTCCTCTTCTGCAGGCCACACATGCCCAGTTCGCTCCGCCTCTCCTCCAAGGGCTTTGCTTCCAGGCCCCGATCCTCCTTGCTGCCCTCTGAGGCCATGGCCTCTCCCCCTCGCTGGGGCTACCGTGGCTACCCCGCCCTTGCCACTGTGTGTGGGGCGGGTGGTGCAACTGCTTTGGCACTGGGGATCGCAAGGCTGCCGGACCGAGCTGGAGGAAATGCAGACCTTCCCAAAATGGCACCCGCCCCGTCCACCCCGGGCTGTGCCAAGCCCTCCTCCCAGGAGCCCGTTCTAAATGCCTCCCGCCTGCGCATGCGCGATGGCCACGCGGCTTTTTTCGCCTCTCCCGCCCGAGCAGATTAGTCGCGCAAGCGCAAACCTCACCCCGCGCCATGGAGCCCTACTCAAGATGGCGCTCCGGGCGACTTCCGGTCGCCCTTCCCAGCAGGCCTCTCGCCCTTTCCTGTCCCGTTGTGCCTTGCGCTTCCCCTCTGCGCTGACCGGGTTCCGGTGACGGTGAGCGCGGCGGGCCGAGGAAGTCGCTTGTGGGCGCCGAGATGGCGGACGTGCTGGACCTCCATGAGGCGGGCGGCGAGGATTTCGCGATGGACGAGGATGGCGACGGTACGGCCGGGGCGGGACCCTTGCTGCTCACGCTCTCAGTAGGCCTCACACCAATCCTGTGAGGTAGGCCGGCGCCCTCCTTCGCCGAGACGGGAGTGAGGGCGCTCCGACAGCACCCCAGCGGCGACTCCCGCTCTTCTTTCAGTCGTGCATTTATGCCTTTGCTGTTCCTTCTGGGGACGAGAAAAGGCCCCAGAGCGACTCACATAGGCTAAGGATACAGCGCAAAAGGCACGGCACCCGAGGAAGAAGAGTGCGGGGTCTTCTAGGGGTTCTTCCCTAGCTGGAGCCGGGGGTCAGACTAGATGGCCCGGGGGACCCCTTCTGACTCGCTCTGTGTCTGTTTCCTGAGAGGGGAGGGCAGAACACGCGCTGCTGGGGCGCAGTCCTGTGCGACTCCAGACGGAAACAATCCCGCAGCGGTGTGCTTATTTATTAGTGATATTTAATGGTACTCCGTATCTGCTGCTTAACAGTAGCATCTCTTGGGGCACAATCCTATGCAAGGCTGGGCAGAAAATAAGCCTACGACTCCCAGCATAGGATTGCGCCCCTGTTACAGAGGAGCATAATGCCAGTCGTGTCTGTGTTGGTGGTTACAGCTCAGTGGGTCAAGCGAGCGGACGTGCCCCGAGAGCCCCCAGATGTGTTGGACTGTTATTATGTACTGTATGTATAGAGCGCTGCATTTGGAATGCACCGGGTTGGGGAGGCTGCACTGAGAATTGGGAAACAGTGTCAGGCAAGGCCACCCATGCAAAATGTACTCTCTCTGCGTGTGGTGGAGGGGAATTCTTGCTGCTGTTAGACAGTGGGAGCCAGAAACTTCTGCTAATCCGCTGCACATCTCTTGGAAATCTGGCAGTAAATTCAGACCTGCCTCCCTCGCTGTCCAATTTCTCAGTATCCAAACAATAGCTGTGCAAGGCAAGGACATTTGACCATCCTAACATTGCAAAGGGAAACACAGGGGGCGAGAGCGGGGCTTACCAAAGGCCAGCGGCGGGATTCAATCTTTGTCTCTTTCCTGCGATCCTCAGCTTTTATTTCTTCCCCACTCCCTTGTGTGACTGCTTCCAGTATAATAGATTACTGTTGCTGTTGCTGCTTTTTCAATTCTCTGACAAGGAACCCAAAGGGACTTACAAGGTTCTCCACTTCTCCATTTTATCCTCAACAACAACAACCCTGTGAGGTGGGTTGGGCAGAGAGTGAGTGACTGGCCCAAAAGTCGCCCAGTGATCATGGCTGAATGGAGACCAGACCCTGGATCTCCCAGGGCCCCAGTCCAGCACTCCGACCACCGGGCCACACTTACTTGTGTTTTAGTACGTACATCACAGAGAGCTTCAGCGATTGGACAGCATAGAAAATAAATAAATGAGACCCAGGCCATGTTATGTACATGCTGCTACATACATGGTGTAACATGGATGGGAGGCAGAGGAGTCTTACTTTCCTCGTAGTGAAAAGAGAGGGCCATAGGCTGACATGATGGCACAGCTGAGAGATTCGAATCTGGGGTCCCTGTTTTGTAGTTCATCTCCCCTTCAACCCAGCCCCCCCCCCCTTCCTTGGTTGTCCGGGGAGGTGACTTCATAGGAATATAGAAACGTTCTTTGGGGTTGCTCAGAGCCCTTCAGGTGCACTCTTTCTGTAGTCCTTACTGTAGTCCTGTAAGGTGGGTCAGTAGTAATATCTTCCCTTTGTAGGTGTAGGGAAGGCGTTGAAGCTTCCCTTGATTTAGGTCGCCCCCTGAAGGAGTTGCTGACAGGAGAAGATTGCTGAGCCGGGCGCCCTCGTTCAGTAGCTTAGTCTCCTCACTCTGGGCGTATTTTCTCGAATCCCACCATCTCCGGGGAGCATGCTGGGCTGCTCTGGGACACCAAGAGGAATGGACAAGGAGTTGCTTGCTCGGCCTCTGCATGAGCCGTTCCTCTGGCCCATCCTGTTGGCTTCTGCCTCTTCGGACCATTCAGGCCTCTCCTGATGCTGGGCCAGCTCAGCCCAGCAGTTCCTTTGAGGTACATTCTGTACTGCTGAGCTTGCTGGACCACTGCAGAGATGGCTTCTTCCCCTTCTTCACCCTTCCGCTTGTCTCTTTTTGGCCTGCTTAATGTGGGAGGTTATTTATTAAAAGTATATACCGTACTGAAATTCCCGTAGGACTTTCTAGGCGGTTATCTGAGGATAGGGAAATCTTACTATTTCCCAATCTCAAAGACAACTTTTTCAGCCTTGGGAAGGGACAGCCCTGTTGGCTGCTTGGGAGAAACTTGCCTAATTGGATTTTGGCTGCCCTTGGTCTGGGAAGCTGTGGGCCGAGCATCTTTACTCAGCCCTCAGGGATGTTCTAGTGGACTTTTGAGGTCACACATTCTGGTTTGACCTTGCAGGGTTGTTGAGAGAAGATTAAGATGGGGGAAGACACCACAGACATTGTTCTGAGCCTTCCTTGAGCAGTCTTCAGAACCAAGCTCCACCAAATCCTCTGGGATCTTAAAGATGAATACACTTGTAGTTCCTACCCAAATAGTTTTGAGAACTGGAATACTATTTGACTGATTTCTGGAAGCTGTTTTTTATTTTCCTACCTTCCATCCTGAGATTTATCTTTATTTAGTCTCTCCTTTCTGTCCTGCCTTACAAGCAACCTCTTCGCACTTCTCCCATAGAGTTGAGCTCCTTTGCTCACCCCTACAAATGGATTCTGGCGACTTCTCCCCTTCCCAAATTCATTTATTCCTTCCGGTCTGTGTGGTGAGGGTGCTTCTCCCTCCGCTGCCTCTTGTTCCCTGCCCGCAAGGAATGCATCCTGCACTGTATGTCTCCAATGTATGGAACAGGGTTTGCAGAGAGATAACATAATTTAGCTTTTGTGAAGGAGTCCACCCCACCCCCATTTTATGCTTTCTGTTGGAGGGTTTGTTGACCCAACCATGTTTGATCTCTTTTCAGAAAGCATCCACAAGCTGAAAGAGAAAGCAAAGAAGAGGAAAGGAAGAGGGTTTGGGTCAGGTAAGATGTTCTCTCGCAAGCCGCGATGTGGCGTGCCAACTCCGTTCTGTTCCTCAGTTTGTCTGCAGTCACTGAGAGGTTCCATTGACCCTTGCCGGTCCTCAGTGGGTCGTCTTCCCAGCCTCCTTTGCTGCTTGTTCCCTGGGGACACAGGGCATGGATTCGTGCTGGCCTGGCAGAGGAGGGGGGAGCTTTGTGTCTGGTCCCCTGGAGCTTCAGAAGCGCTCAGGGGTCCTCCAGAGCCCAGCAGGCCTCCTCAGCCCCAGGCAGAGGTGGAGGCTTGTCCCTGTCACACTCAACTTTGCTCTCGCCGGAGGAGGGAGGGGCGCTGCCATGGCAAGGGCGGTAACAGACGGTGTGGACTCCCGGACAGGGACAGCACGAGGTTGGAGTGCTTGTGGCGGAGTGGCCTGGGGAAGGCCTGCTTGGCTGCTCGTGGTAATTCGCCCCAGAGAAGGCAGGGCCACCTTGGGCACTGCCAGTGCTTTCTGCCCCCCTGAGCGTGTTTCTGTCTGTGTGCCAACAGAGGAGGGGTCCAGGGCCCGCGTTCGGGAGGACTATGACAGTGTGGAACAAGACGGGGATGAGCCAGGTCCTCAGAGATGTGAGTATGCCCCAGAGGGCAAGCGGTCTGCTTCCCCGCAGCCCCACACCTTGGCCCATGGCCTCCCGTGTGGCCCCTTGGGCTGAGCTTAACTGGTGGCTCTCTGCGCCTTGGGCTCCCTTGCTGCAGCGGTCGAGGGCTGGATTCTCTTTGTCACGGGGGTCCACGAGGAGGCCACGGAAGAGGACATTCACGACAAGTTTGCGGAGTTCGGCGAAATCAAGAACCTCCACCTGAACCTTGATCGGCGGACCGGCTACCTGAAGGTGGGAGGTGCTTGCTCGGGTGTTCTTTCTAGCCTCTCCCCACTGGGGAAAAGGCACGGGGGTAGGAAAGGCCCCCCTGGGATGGGCCCAGGAAGCATCGCTGAGATGGGGACAGGCAGTGGGCACCGTGGTGGTGGTGCCAGTCCTGTGGCTCTTGAACAGCAGCCACCGCTGCACAACACGCAAGAGAGGCCCGCCCGGTGCTCCAGTCCTTCCCGAGGGAGCAGGCGCTTGCGGAAGGGGCGATGCCGGAGACACACTGGGGGAGCGTCGCCGAATTGGACCGTGCGAGGCTCAGGCGGTGGGCTTGGGAACCTCCGTGGGACCGGGCTGTAGGACGGAGGGGGCAGGTGCCTTCCAGCTGCAGACTGAGGCCAGGGTGTCTGTGACCGGGGGGGGGGGCTTCCCCCAAGCTGGTGCCCTCCAGGTGTGTCGGACTGCAGCTCACATCATCATCATCATCATCGGCAGGCAGTGGCCTCGCTGCCGAGAGGGCAGGCCTCACTGGGGAGGGCAGGGTGGGGAGCGCTGGTTTCCGAAAATGGTGGTGGTGGAGGTGAAGCCTGTCAGGAGGGTGGGTCGCCAGCCGCTGCGGCACGTGCCGAACGGAAGCCGTGCCAGGATGCGTCTCCAGGTGGCTGATGCCTCTTCCCCGGGACCTCTGGCAGGGTTACACGCTGGTGGAGTACGAGACGTACAAAGAAGCCCAGGCAGCAATGGAGGGGCTGAACGGGCAGGACCTCATGGGGCAGCCGATCAGCGTGGACTGGTGCTTCGTCAGGGGCCCCCCCAAGGGCAAGCGGAGGTGAGCGATTTCCGGTGACAAGTGCGGGGCAGGAACCGCGTGTAGTTAGCATATAATCTCACAGCCCCCCAAGGCGGGTGTGTGGCTGTGAACCGTGACTCTGAAGTTACCGTGGCTGAAACTTGCTCTCAGTATTGCCATTTCACCAAAGGGAGGGTGGAGGCGAGGCGTGGAACTCCCTGGAGGAGGCCTGCGAGCTCCGCTGGGGTCCATGCGTCTCTCGGCCAAGCTTCTGAGGAATGACGTGCTTGTGGGGCGGGAGGAGTTTTGGAGGATCCTGCCCTCTGCCAGCAGCTGACTTGGGTTTTCGGCTTTCTGCACCAAGCTTCGACCCAACTTAGAATGGTCTTCTACATGGAATGGTCCTGATGGCGGGATGACCTGGTTGCGCACCTCCGGTGGACCGGTCCTGTTGGTTTCTCAGGCTTTGCGTCTGTGGGGAAACACAACATGCCACTGAATGGTGGGGCGCTCTCTGTGTCTTTTTCCAGGGGTGGCCGTAGAAGGAGCCGGAGTCCGGACCGGAGGAGGCGCTGAAGCAGAGCCTCGTGTCTACCTTTCACAAAGTGGAAAATTATCCTCGGTGAAGCTGAAGGTTCCACACGTGTGCTGGCAGACCATGTCCTGGACGCTCTCCTCTGCCCCCAGCCCCGGTTAATTTTATATCGGTCCCCTAGGGTCATACCGTTGTTTTTATCCATCTCGGGTATTGATCTCTCAAACTGTTTTTCTGTCTTAGTAAAGATCCATCTGCTTTTCAGTCTGAGAAGGAATATCAGGCAAGCAACTTTGAGAATAAAAAGGATACGGATTTTTTTTTAAATGTGTGTTTCATATCTTTCTGTGCGAAGACAATGTGTTCCAGGGTCTGGGCGGGCGAGTATGGAAGGGTCCAACAAGTTCTCCTCTTCTGGGACTATTTTTAGTAGTCGGGAAGGAAAACTGCTCCCGTGTGGGGGCTAAAGTCTGCTGCAATGCTTCTTGTGGGTGGGCTCTGGGAAGCAACCGCGACGATCGCTGAATTAGTCTTGTTAACCTGCTCAGATGCGCTTGTATTAGTCATTTGCGGCAGATTAAAGGCCTGGAAGGAGAAAGAATAGGAAGGCACTCCCTCTCCACTGGGACCCAGAGATGGCTCGCACCCCTCATTGGCCGCCAGGCAGTACCTGCTTCGCGGGTGTGCTCCAAGCCTGGGGCTTCTGGCTTCATGTCTCCGTCGTCGTGCAGCAGAATTTGGGCTCTTGGGCAGATCCCAAGACACATTTCTCCAGCCCTACAGGTACAAAGAAAGCAGCAGGTGAGGGGTCAGCCTCACACAGCATTCTCTCCTTCCTCTTTTGGAAATCAGAAGCATATAAATGTATTCAATGAATGTGTGTCTAATATGCAAGGATTCTCTGATTTGTATAGTTTATCCAAGGCATAAAACGTGGCACGTGCGGGCCGAGGCGAGGGGGTTTGTGTTGGTCTCCAGTGCTCTCCGTCAGCTGTTAAGTGCTTTCAAGTCATCTCCAACTTGCGGCCACCCTACAAATGAAACCCCTCTGACATGCCTAATCCACGATAGCCCTGCTTAGCCCCTGTCCTAAATTCTAGGCTGTAGGTTCCTGACGGAGTCCGTCCATCTCTCATTTGGTCCTCCCTTTCATTTCTCGCCTTCGACTTTCCCCAGCATGATGGGCTTCTCCAGGGAGTCCGGCCTTCTCACGATGTGCCCAAAGAGAGACCGCCTCAGTTTTGCCGCCTTTGCTTCTAAGGAAAGCTCTGTCTTGATTTGCTCATTTTTCTTCCTATCAGTTCAGAGTATTCACAAAGCTCTCCTCCGGCACCCAGTTTTGAACGCTTCCACATCCTTCCTGTCAGCTTGCTTTGCTGTCCACCTTTCACGCCCACCCACAGCGATCTGTGCAATAGCCTGGCCGCGTGCAGGGGGCACTTGCACTGCCCAGGTGTGCAAAGGAGCCGCTGCAAGGGCAAGGCCTGGGCGTTGGGACCTGGCCATGAAGCAGTTAGCTCGTGGCAATTTCTTCCTGACATTTGGCCAGAGCCCAGTCCAATGGTTTGTGGGTACAGATATTTCCAGCCAACATCCCAAACCTTGCCCCAAAGGGCCCGCGCATGCCGTGTTTCAATGGGAGCGTAGAAAAAGTGCATGCGCAAAAATACATTCCTGCAAGGACATCAGCTTGCATGAGAACACGATTTTCTAGCCCTTCAGAGGAAGTGGAAGGTGCAGGAAATGGCATCTCTGAGCTCACAGAATAAGTGACGCGGTTTTCCCAACAGGGTGGACAAGGGACTCCATGGCCCAGGAGTAACTCTTTGCTGCTGTCCCTGACTTGCAAAAGACGAGAAAACAGCAAAAATGAAGAGAACTTGCAGAATGTATGTAGGCTTCGTGATGCAGCTTTTCCACTAACGGAGGCAGCTGAATCGAACAACTGGCACGGCCCTCTGCCTGTGCAGGCAGGGGAAAAGTCCTACAGTTCCCTAGCATTCCCAGCCATTCCTAGCTGGGGAATGCTGGGAATTGTCAAACTTTTATTAATTTTAAAAGCTCCTGCGATAACATTGTTCTGCCAAATTGGATTGTAATAAAGAATTGTATTTCACCCATCTATCAATCTAAGTTTAACTGTAAGCAATAACCCAATGTAGCAAAAATAATCTATAAAGTGTAAATTTTGGTTGGTGATCACTTCCTGCCACAGAATCTACTATGAAAAACCCAATAGAGCCCTGAAGTCTCCAATCGGTCACCAACTGTGCTCCCAAGACACCTCTCTTGGTATTCACCAGCCTCCTTATCCCTCCTCATTTTTATTTTTGAAGATTTTTTTAATTCAGAACATCCGAGAACCTGGCACGCTACGAATGACAACAGCCGCCATCCAGGATCACTTCTGCCTTGGTTCAAAGTGTGGTTTTGCAGCTCAGCGCTCACATCGCTTCTTCACTTTGTGCTTCGTTTCTTAAGCAAATTCGTTTTCTCCTGGGCTTTCCGAGCAGCCGTGCCTTCCGCGACAGCCGCCTGCCTTCTGCGTAGTTCTGAATCCCGAGGCACGGCAAACGGTGCTCAGAAGCAAACCGGGAAATGGCAGGAACCTCCGCTATCGATGCTGAAGGGCTCCTGCCAAAAATTGAGGCTTAGCTGGGGGCATCTGGTCAAAGCGGCACCGCGCAGGCCCAGCACCCGTGTGTGTGTCGCGCCTGCGAGCCCACCTCCTTCCTCGCCACTCTGTCTGGTCACTGAAATGATCCGAGGAAATTCTCCTGGCGATTCCACGCAGCAGGTCGAAAGCCTGCGGTGCCACGGTCCTATTCCTAGGGCATTCTAGGGAACCGGCCCTGCGATGCGTTCAGTGCCTGCTAGGCAAGCTTCTTCCGGGAAGCCTTTTCTTGCTGGCAAGCCTTGGTCTTAGTGCTTATGCCTGCTTTCAATTCCCTGTTTTTATTATTTTCCTTGCTCTCGCCTCCATCCACCCTGCTTTGGGCCGCGGCTGCTGCTCTCCAGCACCCTTTTCTCATCAGTGAGACCTACTCTTGAATATACTTAAATCAGCGTGTGGTGAGCCGATGGCACTTGCTCCTGAGTAGACATATATAGGTGCACAGCTCACCTCCTCGTTCATCCACACGCCGGCGTCTTCAGTTCTGGGCAGATGCTGCACTGGGCCAGCTCTGCAAACATCAGTCCAGGGTCTACCAAGGAGCCACAAAAGCTCAACTCTAGAGAGGGCACTCAAGAGACAGGGAATCAACGGCCAGGTCATCTCTGTATGTCAGAGATCTCTGTATGCTTGTCAGCAGAACCAGCAGCCACAGCAGCCAGAAAGTCCCCAGAGCCCTCTGGAAACCCACTGGATTCATCACCCTCTGGGCAGAGACCAGCTTCATGGTCCCCCGCCCCTAACGAGGGGAAAAGTCACCACAAGTCTGAATCTCAACAGGCAATAGTCTGACCATGAGACCAATTTAGACCCCCACCTTTAGATCATTATCCCCCTGCCCAGCTGAAAACGCCAAATCCAGAGTGTGTCCTGCTATGTGTGTTGGGCTGATAGCATGTCGGGACAGTCCCAGGGTTGCCACTGGAGTCCCTGCAATCCTGAGTTGCCCCAGATAAGGAATGTTAGAATCCCACAGAACCAGGAATCGGGCCCCTCCCCATCACGAGTGAGGCCACCTCTGTCAGCTCAGATAAGGGTTGCAGGGCTAGGAACCCAAGCCGACCCACTTCCCCAGCACAGGATGCAGGCACTCTAGATCAGGAGTCAGCTGCAGAGAGCGCCTGGGGGTGGGGTGTGTGTGTGTGTGTGTGTGTGTGTGTGAGTGAGAGAGAGAGAGTGCGGAGGGAGGGAGGCAGCTGATGAGAAAGGCAGGTTCACCCTGAAGGGATCAATTCACATTGGTACACTGCCATATGTAAAAATGAAATGGAATCCCCACACCTAGAAAGCTAGCACATCAGGGAGCAAAGTTCCAGCCTAACATGCAAGTTGAGGCCTGTGGAGGAATGTATTTTCTGCTGTGTGAGCCTTGCCGAAGCCCAGGGCACAAGTGCCCCTCCTGAGTGAGAAATGGGCTGCAGATAAACTGGGTGGACTGGGGGCGGGTTGTCTTAAATTGGTCCAAAGTGTGACTGCTATTTTATCCCCCCAGTGGGCTCTGCTCAGAAGGCTGGCTGGCCGGCCACTGTGGGAGCAGCATCCTGAGTGGACAGAGCTTTGGTCCGTTCCCGTCTGAGGCTCAGGCATGTCTTTGCAAGCAGGGCGCCCGGGGGACTTGGCCCCTGGGACGGAGGGGTCTGCCTAGGACCCCCAGAAGGGAGGCTGCTTCCTGCCGCCACCACTGCCCACCCGCACCCCTGCAAGCATTCCTTGGAGAACTGCGGTGCGTGGACTGTGGGCCCCGCAGGGCCGGCCCGGAGGGTCGAAAGGGCCTCCAGCCCCGCTGCTCCTCTTTCCCCGCCCTGGCGCTGGGCAGGGCTGCTCGCTGAGGGAGGGGGCCCCGGGCACACCTGGCCTTCCAAGGGGCCCTCCAGGACTGGCGCCGACCACACGCTCCAGGTCTGGCAGCGGCCTGGACATCCTCCCGGAATGCCTGTTTCCCGCCAGGCGTTCCTGAGCAGGGAGCACCGGTTTGGCTGCAAATCCCTTTCTGCAGTGCGCCTCCCCCCCCCCCCCCCCGGGACACACGCAGATCTGCGCGAGGAGCCATCTGTGCGCACGTCCCAGCGCCTTCCCAGCGCCTGCTTTCCGCCTCCCTGGTGTGCACGCCTGCCCAGCTGCCTCCCTGCAGTTCGGCTGCTTTTTATTTCTGCTGCAATGCCCAGCCCCAGAATGTGCAAACCACCGATGTCCAGGGTGCCACTGGGCATGTGCAGGGTGCCTTTCTACCACTGCCTTAACCACAGTCGGCTGAGGGTTACGGTTTCCAGGGTCCGGCAGGCTCCCTGCATGCTA